AGATAGATAGATAGATAGATAGATAGATAGATAGATAGGTAAATAGACAGACAGATAGAAAGACAGATAAGTTAGACAGACAGATAGATAGATGGATGGATAGATAGATAGATAGGTAAATAGACAGACAGATAGAAAGACAGATAAGTTAGACAGACAGATAGATAGATAGATCGATAGGTAGGTAGGTAGACAGACAGAGAGACATAAATAGATAGATAGAAAGATAGACAGATAGATAGATCAATAGGTAGGTGGGTAAGTAGACAGACAGACAGACAGATAGACATATATAGATAGATCGATAGAGAGGCAGGTAGGTAGGTAGACAGACAGACAGACAGACAGATGGATAGATAGATAGATAGATAGATCGATAGATAGGCAGGTAGGTAGGTAGGTAAGTAGACTGACAGACAGATAGACAGATAGATAGATAGATCGATAGATCGATAGATCGATAGGTAGGTAGGTAAGTAGACTGACAGACAGACAGATAGACAGATAGATAGATAGATAGATAGATAGATAGATAGGTGGGTAGGTAGGTAGACAGACAGACAGAGAGAAGACAGATAGATAGAGAGATAGATACATTGAGAGATAGATAGGTAAATGGACAGATAGATAGCTAAATAGACAGATAGATAGACAGACGGGCAGATAGACAGACAGATAAAGAAGACAGACGGATAGATAGATAAATAGATGGATAGATAGATAGTTGGATAGATATATAGGTAAACAGACAGGCAGACAGAGACAGACAGATAAGGTAGACAGACAGATAGATAGATAGATAGGTAGGTAGGTAAGTAGACTGACAGACAGACAGATAGACAGATAGATAGATAGATAGATAGATAGATAGATAGATAAATAGATGGATAGATAGATAGATAGATAGATAGATAGATGGATAGATATATAGGTAAACAGACAGGCAGACAGAGACAGACAGATAAGGTAGACAGACAGATAGATAGATAGATAGACAGATATTGATACTTTAGGATCAAGAATAGATATTGATTATTTAGGATCAAGACCCTTTTTTGAACATTTTAGGTTTTATAATTAATCGTGGTCAATTGAAATAGAAAAGCTCTGATTTCCTTGTTTGTTGTAGGTATTTATTTTATAATAAGCTTCTTATTGTTACGTAAACTCCGTACACAAAGTATCGTATTTGTGTTACGATTTCATGGAGAGGGCCACAGATTTATCAGTTATTCTAACTATTTAGTGTCACCCTCTTAGAATAGAGTGTATTAAGGAGGGACAATTTACGTTAATTGTTAACTACCTTCGACGTAAAGAAAGAATCCTTTGGGGTTTTTCTGTAGTATCTTGATGGCTTTTTCAGTCATCTCTGCTATTGATGGTTCGCCAGCAGCATCTTC